TTAAAAAATAAACACATGAATAAAAGTGGGTTAATTATTCAAAGTTTCATTATATGTTCCATGATGGAATGATAGAAAAAAAAAACCCTCGCAAGGAATCAAGATTAAAGCACATTCCTTCAAAAACAAACAACTTTTCTTTTCACTCCAAATGGAATCAACCATTCCATTCCTGATTCCATCGTACCAAACACTACATAAGAATTACAAATGACTTAATTTGGTTTTTCATGTTATGAAATCAGGTGGAGTGGGATGAGGCGGGTGTGGTGATAAACAAAAGCCAAGTGAGTCCATGGGACATCGAGGCACCAGAAAGTCTCTTCATTTTCCCTTCTCTAACTTCAAGTCTTAAAAGACCTTTCAATTCCGCTTTTCTAGGTGAATTCCATTCCCTTGTCATGTTTACCTTTTTGCCCTTGTCCTATCATAAATTTTTTTAGTGACATTTTTTGTAATGTAATTAGGAGCACAAACCGAATGGGACAATATGGTAACCCGACCATTCATGCGGGCCCCGAAAACAATAAACGGAAACTTTTCAAACCCTTCAATGTCTAGCTTATGGTCAGAACAACTCGTCAAAATGTTAATGAAACCACAAACCAATCACAATACGCCACCTGTGATTCAAGATACTTTCACCACTAATCGCCCACAATTTCACCTCATTCAACCCAACACCACCACCATCACCGCCGCCTCACCGCCACAATCCACCCAAAATCTCTCCGGCTACCACCAATCCGATCAGAAACCACCGATAACAGTCACTTCCGACACAATAAAACCAGACTCAAAACCAATGTCCCCGTTTCTCAATCAATTATCCCCATTTGACTCGAGCATACTCCATGGTCAACAATTTGATTCCCCCCAAATCGATTCTTCAACTCTTAACGGGTTATTCCCGTACCCGGACACAAACGTATTGAACCCGTATCAATCTCTCGGACCCGAAACGTGGGACCCACAACCCAACACTTCACGATCTTTCTTCCAACAAAACATGGGACCCACAAATTACGGACTGTTGTAAACAATCAAGAAATGTGAAGGAATCAAGAGACTTGAGAGAAGAAAAGACTAAACTGGAAGCTTTTATTTCTGTAACGAAAGAACTCACAAACCTCAAAAAATATAGCATCATTCAATACTAGGATTGCTGCCCTGTTTTCACGCCACTACAAATTGAAAACTAAAGACCAGGTCTACTCTAATAATTCTGGTAAATTAAAGACTGAAATAAACTTACTTAGTATAAAATCTGGATTACAAATCAACAGTATACCAAGGTTAGAAATTCTGTTACTTTCTATTATAGAATTGTACTTTCATTTATTATTGCATATTTGCATCATACTTCCATCTCTTTCGATTACAACATTGTTTTTTCATTTTTTTTCTTGTCAAGACATGTATTTTGAAAAATCTACTGATGTATAGCATTGTACTTTCAATTATGCTTTTAAAGTGTACCCAATTATAGCAGTAAAAAGGGTTTTGTTTTTTGGATTGCAATGTTATATTTGGGTGGATTCTTCACAGGACGATGAGATAATAGGAAGAAATGTAAGTAGGATGCTATGATAAACAAATTGATGAAATTACATTGCTATTTCTTGCATTTAACAATTTTTGGAATCATGGGCAAAGTTTAAAATATGAAAATATAGAACGATCTTCGTTTAACAACCAAATAAATGAAACTACATATACAAAGGTTGGAACTTTTTCTTGAATATATTTCCACATTGATAAATTTCTATGCATATTTTGAAAAGCTAAACGCAAGAAACGGCAACATACTTTTGTTTATTTGTATTATAGCATCCTACTACCATTTCTTTCTTTTACAACATTGTACTCTTAATTTTTTTCTTATTAAGACATTGTACTTTGAAAACTCTTACTAAATTGTGTACTTTGAATTTTTATTTTTTTCTTAATTTACTATTGTACTTTAAAAGATCTACGCAATCATTACAGTGAAAGTAGTTTAGTATTTCCATGGCATTGCTACAAGAGTATATTCGGAAGAAATGAAAGTAAGATGCTATTATAAACAAATCAAATGAAGTATGTCCAGATTTCTTGCATTCAACCCATATCTACAAAATCTGAAACATGATAATATGGAACGACTTTTTTTTCTTGTGGTATTCAGATTCAAAAAGCAGGATCAGTTTGGAGGTCTATTGATGTGTCGAGTTTCAAGAATTATGATGTATCTTACTTTCATATTTTTTTCTTATTAAGGCATTGTACTATAAAAACTCTACACAATTATAGAATAAAAAGTTTCATTTAATTTGGATGGCATTGCTATAATTGGGTAGATTTTTCAAAGCACAATGCTGTAGTTGGAAAAATTGAAGTAGAAACAAATGAATGATTCCAATTTCTTAAAATTAGCCCTAAAATATAACCAAAATCAAGTTGGAACCAGCAAGCTTATTTCAATTTTAGCTAAGTTTTCTAATTTGACTCGTTAGAGATTTAACATAAGCAAAAAATCAACAAATTTTAGGTAAACGAGTTTAAATTGATACCTTTAAAAGATGTTTGAAGGCTGAACATTGTGGTGTAAAATGCAAACATTGTGGTGTAAAATGCAGGGAATTTGTTGGGTGCGCACCATGTATCAGGATTCTTTTGCCTTCTGAAGTTCAACTGATGGGTGAAGAGGGAATGCAGCATTGCAGGCCGGGATTAATGATGGCGTGGGTTGGACAATGGTACATGTACTTGGGTGGGACCCACATGATCCAGTGGGATCCTAACAATCATGGACCGGTTGTAGTGACAAGATGAGAGTTAGCAAGATTCTTGGTTTGAAGAGATGATGTGGGTGACAAATTAGTGAAGAAACAACCCATTGTAGCTTTATGAGATGTTAAAGGATTGTAAACATTTAAAATGCTATATGAATTAAGGATTGACTAATTTATCAAAATCTCCCCATTCAAAATGCAATTATGCTTATGCTTTCTCATGGCAGAAGAATGTATGTAATAGTGAGACTAATCTAATATGCTTAAAAGACAATTAAAGTGCGTGTAATAGTGAGACTAATAAAAGACCAGTTAAATCTCTATCCATAACTAGTAAGAATACTCACCTCTCTTCTTTTTAGACTTCGTTCAAGTTTTATTTATTTTGTGATAAAACTCTGTGATCATCAACCTTCCGTACGATTGCCTTCATGAAAGACACAAATGTCTGCAATAAGTCTCTTTTTCCAGATCTCCTATGAACTCTTATTTTCCGCCTCATATATACTCGCATCAACATCCTATTCCTTGTTGTCGCCATGAAATTTGACTTAAAAATCTTGGTAATTTGATTCTCGCATGGTAGTTTAGCAACATTAAGCATCGCCACACTATAGACAGGTTCTTGTTCGTCACGGCCGAGTTTGTAATCCACAAATTCTTCCCAAACTGCTTCTTCCCACACTCTTGTTCAACATATCGAAACCGGATGTCGGCCTCATTTTACGCTTAACCCTGGCAAGAGCTACTACCCCTCTTTCACGCTTTGCACCCCTCTTAAGTTCTTTGTATTCGGCTATCTTTTAATCAAGTGCAGCAACATATGCAACAACCTTTAGAGTTTGTCTTGACGGCTATTATTCACCATGCTTACTCTGCGGCACCTGTAAATAAACTTCTTGCCATCTGAATCATCTTTCAACCGGCTAAAAAACTGATAAAGTTCACAACGGATGCATTCTTCCTCTGATTCCCAATAATTTCCAGAGGAAGAATGCATCCCTCATGAACTTTATCAGTTTTGTAGCCGGTTGAAAGATGATCCAGATGGCAAGAAGTTTATCTACAGGTGTTGCAGAGTAAACATGGTGAATAATAGCCGGGTAACAGGACAAACGTTAAAGGTTGTTGTATATGTTGCTGCACTTGATTAAAAGATAGTCGAATACAAAGAACTTAAGAGGGGTGCAAAGCGTGAAAGAGAGGTAGTGACTCTTGCCAGGGTTAAGCGTAAAATGAGGCCGGCATCCGGTTTCAAGATGTTGAACAAGAATGTGGGAAAAAGCTGTTTGGGAAGAATTTGTAGATTACAAACTCGGTCGTGGCGAACAAGAACCTGTCTATAGTGTGGCGATGCTTAATGCTGCCAAACTATCATGCGGGAATCAAATTACCAAGATTTTTAAGTCAAATTTCATGGCGACAACAAGGAACAAGAGGTTGATGCGAGCATATATGAGGCGGAAAATAAGAGTTTACAGCAGATATAGAGACTTATTGCAAACATTTGCGTCTTTCATGAAGACAATCAGAATGAAGGTTGATGATCATAGAGTTTTATCACAAATAAATAAAACTTGGACGAAGCCTAAAAAGAAGAGAGATGAGTATTCTTACTAGTCATAGATAGAGATTTAACTTGTCTTTTAAGCATATTAGATTAGTCTCACTATTACATGCACTTTAATCGTCTTTTAAGCATATTAGATTAGTCTCACTATTACATACACTCTTCTGGCAGGAATATTCATGAGAAAGCATAAGGATAATTGCATTTTGAATTGGGAGATTTTGATAAACAATTTTCAATTTTCAAAATTATTTCTCATATGTTATTGTTTATCAAGGTACGTAGTCACAGATTTCTGATATTTTTTCATATGTTGGTTGATTTGAAGATCAAAAATCTCTCAATTTCAATTTAGCTTAAAGTTTTATAGTTTTGATTTAGGATTTGATTTTCAATTCTTCCAATATGCTTAACAATATGATTATTATTGATCGGATCTCTCAATTTCAAATTAGCTTAAAGTATCATACTTTGATTTAGGATTTGATTTTCAATTTTTCCAATATGCTTAACAATATGATTAGCATTTTGTAGGTATATAGCTATTGATTGAATTGATCAATTTCAAATTAGCATAAAATTTCATATTTTGATTTAGGATTTGATTTTTAATTCTTCCAATATGCTTAACAATATGATTATCAGAAATCAGTTCACCCATATTTCTTATAACTTTTTATTTTCAGTAGGTATGGTAGATTGGGACGTGAGGCTGCCTGAAGTATTAGAAACATTGGACTTAGAGGATCATCACTTCAATATAATCGGTTGGAATCGGGACTTAGTGGTGGATGGATGCGGCATTCGAATCCAAGATTTTTGCAATACTGTTTCTATCTTAAGAAATCAGGTGAACACGAAAGACGTATTACCAATTTTGCTGGAAGAAGGCTTGCTCGAAAATTATTGGGAATCAGCTACAAAACTGATAAAGTTCACGAGGGGTGCATTTTTCCTCCGATTCCCTGTTGATTTCAAATGTTCATATACTCTACATTGATCTCAGCTTTGCTAAAACGATAACATGGTGTAATTGCACGTATTTAAATCCTGATGATAACTGCAAAATTGAAGCGGTGAGTGTCCGAGAAATTTTGTACTTATAAATGGGGGCAAATGTCCAATTTTACTAATATATTGTTTGTTTTAGTGGACTTCAGTTAATTCGTTACAATACTTTTCCTTTTCTAAAAACAATAATTTATAAAATATAATGAGTTATTGGTATGACATTGGATGAACTTTTTTATTTTCAAATGCTACAAATAGCATTAACTTTCATTTGAAGGAAAACTATTAAAAGGTTCTATTTGCCTTCCATGATAATTACACCATGACATCATTTATCATAGTTATCTTTACCCATTTAGACTTTACACCAGAAATCATGACAAAGTCTTATCAGGGAAAAAAGAATATTAGATTTGAAATATTAATAATCAAGAAAAGAAACATACTATATTTTGGTTAAAAACTATTGATTTCATCCGCAATCCAACTTATAATATGATCGATTAGCTTATAAATTGGCAACTAATCTAAAAAGTTAGATTACAATTCAAAGCCATAACATAAGAGATGACTCATGATAGATGTTTGCACTTAGTTTTTAAAATCCAGTCATTGTTAAAGAACAACATTTTAGCCTAAAAAGTGTTTATTGGATTCTTTTTATTAAATCAAAACATTTCAGTAGTACTCTTCTTATATATAGGCATTGCATATACGGTGATGAAAATATTAACAAAAATTCAAATTAAAATCTTGAAACAAATCAAATAAACTTTACTACAAGTTTTTTTACATGTAAATGCAGGGAATAGCATTGTTCCTATAACCACTGCTGCTACATGTGACTTTTTTCAATTATTAGATTCAAAGTGAACGTTTCATGAACCTAGAACATTCTACCATTCCACTACTAACAGTACCTTCGGTAAGAGACTCAATAAAACAATAAATACCCAAATTGCCCCTCCATGTAACATACTTATAATTGGCTCTCCTTTTACTAATTGGCTCTTGTTTTACTGTTTTTCCTGTTTAACCCCTTCTTGCATATGTGTATTTTAATGGAGGTTAGCATATAACTGTGAAATTTATCTTTTCCAACAACCATTTGAACCAAACTAATACACTCCATGGATTTGGCACAAAGTATGTGAATAGCTCTAGTATAGCTTTTAGGTAAGTCATAACTGCATTAAGGAAATGTTTTTACCTAGTAATTTTGTTAGGGTAACAGATGACCAAAATGGCACAAACAATGTAAAGGATTTGCTTTATATTTAACAACATTATGATTCAAAATTATCACAATAACAATAAAGACTCGTATTCAGATTCATATTTAAACTATAGATGCAAGTTGAAGTTTAGAACAATTTACTTGGTCATTGCAGTACTACCATCAAATGAGTTTTTGTTGTCATTTCGAGAAGTTTTGTATCTTGAAAACATGTAAAGGACTGATAAATTCCCATGTGGTTCTTCTTTTGAGCTTGTACGAGAGTGTATAGAAGCATTCACTGCCACTGATGCTTCATTAGTAGCCATTGAAGTACTTGTATCACTGTTCATAGAGTCATCGAGAATTAAACTTCTATAATGATGAGAAACTTGTTGTAGCTTCATCAGTGTCTTCTTACCTGATTAAATAACCGGAAATAAGTCAAATAAAATGTCAACTATTCCACAGATCCAGCTCTGTTCCAAATTTCAAATCAAAACTAAATGCATCTCAAAGAGTCGATGTTTCTATGTCAAAGTGCTGATCTTTCTCTAAACATAAGATAGATTTCGATGATGGGGAGGTGGTCAGAGATGTTTGAAACCAAACCTGAAATGGTGGTGTTTGTCGATTGTGGTGCCAGAAATCACAAGCCGCCGTCTCTACCAAGGTTTGTAGAGCCGCTCCGGTTGGCGGCGCTGGCGGCTATGGTTTTACTAAGGGTTTCGTCGATGATGAGAGAAATATAGATCATTTCCGACAGATTGCAGGTCCGATTATGGTGTGCTGAGGTCTAGTGGATTCCGAGGGAGGTCCGATTACGAGCCTACCTCCGACGACATAGATCTGTGAGAGAGAGAGAGAGAGAGAGAGAGAGAGAGGGAGAGGGACCCTCCGAAACCCAAGCATCTAAAAACTATTTATGTTTTGTTGTAAAAGGATAAGAGAGAGACGAGGAACAAGGAAAATAGGTGTGTGTGTGTGTGTGTGTGTGTGTGTGTGTGTGTGTGTGTGTGTGTGTGTGTGGTGTGTGTGTGTGTTGTGTGGTGGTGTGTGTGTGTGTGTGAGAGAGAGAGAGAGAGAGAGAGAGTGTGTGTGTGTGAGAGAGAGAGAGCTATTTTGTTTTTTTTTCTTTTAATTTTAAGAGTATTTAAAATAAAAATTGAAAAAGCAAAAACAAAGGGCAAAATCGTCTTTACAAAAAAGTTTAAACAAAATTGGACCAAACTCGCAAGAAAATGAAACTTTTGGACCACTGGTGCTTAGTCCAAACATTTTTTGCCCAAACATACGAGTTTTGACATACCATAGCGACCATTCTTGCAATTTTGTCTTTACGATTCTATTATTTTTAGCTTTGATTTGTTATCCCTTCTATAAAAAAGCTTTGCCTTTTTGGAATTCAATAGACGAAAATTATTAAGTATCATGAAATTTATCATAGGTATCAGACCAGGTCTAACCTAAAAGCACCAACCCTAAATTACCATCCCTCTCCATGGCCGGCGACGAAGCAGGATCTGACCAAGCGTCGAAGAAGGATAATGGATAGATACAAACTCACCACTCTACATACATCCCTCATATTACCCGAAGCAAATGCAAGTGAATAATGCACTAACCAACAACAATTACACTGACTGGTCACAGGAGATGATGAAATTCCTGTTTGCCAAAAACAAAGTCGGTTTTGTTGATGGATCTATAAATCGACCAGAAAAGGTAGATTACATGGCATGGATTCGTTGTGATGTTATGGTTAAAGGATGGCTCCAACAGCCATGGAGAAGACCATCCGAAGCAGTGTGAAATATGCAAGCACTGCTAGTGAAATTTGGACTGATCTTTTGGAACGTTTCGGGAAAGAAAGTGCCCCTAGGGCATATAAACTAAAACAAATTCTTACAGGAACATGACAAGAAGGGGTCACGGTTTTCGCCTACTACACTAAGATGCAAGGCATTTTGGACGAGATGCAAGCGGTATTCGCGATTACACGTTGTACATGTAATGGTTGTACATGCAACATTGGAATACAAATGGTGGAGCTCAGAGAGAAGGAAAGACTATACGAGTTCCCCATGGGACTCGATAGTGAATTCTCAGTCATGCGAACACAGATCCTTGCCATGAACCCGATTCCAAGTTTGGGGAACGCCTACCATCTGGTTGCAGAAGATGAGCGACAGAGAACCATATTCGGAGACAAGAAACCCACAACTGAACTCGCTACTTTCAAAACCTTCACACAAATTAATAATAAAAAAGGTAACCCTAATCAACGGCGCAACATACCCTATACCAAAGATAACAAACGCAGTGAACTACAAGAACATTGCACCTTCTGTCGAAAGGATGGGCATAATCGGGAAGGTTGCTTCAAACGAGTTAGGTATCCTGACTGGTGGCTAGGAAACAAAAAGCGAGATGAAGCCAAACCTAAGGTTGCTTGTATTGAACTTGGTACAAGTCCAGTTCCAGGTTTGACTAACGAGCAATACGAGACCTTCCTAAAGTGTCACACCCTCGAACCAGACGGCGGAAACGTCCGGCGGCTCGTGTGACTAACAATTGAATAATCATCACAATGAATATACATGAAACATAACACATTCATCACCAACATTACATATTACAACCAGCATTGAATAATCATCACAATGTTTTGTTCCGTTGTTTGTTTTAGCTCGAGGTTTACTAGATTGATGATAAGAAGCTTTCTTTTTGTAAAAATGACATTTTTGGCCAATAATCCTACAAATTTTCAATTAAGGCCCAAAGTTTTGTAAAAATGACATTTTAGTCCATAATTTATAAAAATTTGCAATTTCATCCCAAATGTTTAGAAATTCACAAATTTAATCCAAAATTTTATATTTTGACATTTATGGCCTAGTTTTGTAGAAAATTGCATTTTCAGCCTCTTGTTTGTAAAAGTTGTCACTTTCGGCCTAATCGTTGAGAAAAGTTACATTTTTGGTCCAATTTAGGAATAAATGTTATTTTTACCCCAAAATTTGGTTTATTTACATTTATGATTCAAAGTTTGGCCAATTTACATTTTTAATCCCCAAAACCTCTTTTTTTTTGCAAATTTAGGCCCAAAACCGTGAGGCCCAAAAATTTGGCCCATTAAGCTAAAATTTACATTTTTGGCCCTTTGGAAAGTATGTTTATCATAAAAATCCCTTTTTATACAAGTAGGACCTGTTTGGTCCCTATAAAAACATAAATGTCACTTTTTGCCCTTATCTTTTGTTTTCTCTTGACAATTTTGACCTTTAAAACAAGGTTTTTGTTGAAATCTTTTGTATCTTAAACATGTAATCACTTTTGGCTTGATAATGTGATGTATATAATGTCATAGTTCATAGATCTTTGTTCAATATTACCTAAAATTTCAAGATTTGCTAAGATCTAACACATTTTTACCAATAAACTAAGAATTCACACAAAACATGCATATAACACATAGATCCACACATTTTACTTGCATTCTCCCCCAAAAATCATATGAAAACCGAAAACAAGGGGGTATGAACTCACCTTTGCTTGATGTTTCGGCTTTTGAAGAGAGAATGGAAAGGATTTTTGGTCCTACCAACACCTTGAAGTGGATCTCGAGATTATGAAGCTTCAAAGGTGTGATCATGGAATAAAACTATGTAAGAAGGAGTTTTTCATGTTAAGATGGAAGGAGATACTTGTGTTTGACAAAAACTTACCAAAGATTGGAATGACTTGATGAAGATCCTTAGAACTCTAGCAATTTTCGAGATCTTGGAGGAAGGAGTATAATCTTTGAGAGTGTTTGGAGAGAATTTGATGTAGTGTGTGTGTGTGTGTGTTTTTGCCTCTCGGCCGAGAGTAAAAGAAGAGAGGGGAGAGAGGTAGTGAGGTGACCTTGCATGGAAATATGGGAGACCATGCATTGATACATGGTGGACAATATGGAGGTGGCACCTCCAAAGTCAACCCCCCCCCCCTTTCCATTTCATTTTTTTTATTAATGTGTTGGGCCGAGAGTTTTGGGTTAGGAGAAAGGGTGGAGTAGTTTGGGCTTTGACTTGCCTTTACTCAAAATCATGAGGCCCAATGATTACTTTTCGGCCCAATGGGCTCATTAGATAGCTCATGGCCCCAATAGGATAAAAGAATGAGTTTATGGCTTACTAATGTTAATTGGGTTAGCTATGGCCCAATAAGGCCCATTAGGGTTAGAATGAATCATTCTAGGCCCAAATGGTCCAAAATGTTATAGATTTTAAGAATTGGGTCCATTTAGAATCCAAATAGGGTTTCCAGGCCCAAAATGGTTGAATTGGATGTTTATTGGTCCATTAGGCCCAATAAGGAAATCCTAGTCCAATATGGACTCAAACCATGGTTCTTAGGGCTTCAGACTCTTTGATGAACATAATTGATGAATCTAAATAAGCATTGAGTGATATTTACTTAGAGTATATGATTTACAATAGTTGAATGGTTACAGAGGAATAGAATTTCCTAGCTAAAATGCTAGTTGTGACATCATCCCCCCGTTAGAGGGAATTTCGTCCCGAAATTCTTTTGAAAACTAGGTTTGTGAAGGGAAGAATAAGTGAGGGTACTTCTGCTTCATCTGGTCTTCACGTTCCCACGTGAATTCCGGTCCACGTTTTGCGCTCCATCGAACCTTCACAATCGGGATGCGACTTTTCTTTGTACGCTTCACCTCCCTATCCATAATCTCGATTGGTTCTTCGACGAACAGGAGATTCTCGTTAATTTCAATCTCTTCCAAAGGAATGACAAGGGTTTCATCTGATAGACACTTTTTCAAATTTGAGACGTGGAACACTGGGTGTACGCTGCTGAGCTCGAGAGGTAGTTGCAGCTTATAAGCCACTGGACCAATTCGGGCAAGAATCTCGAATGGTCCAATGTATCGCAGGTTCAACTTTCCTCGTTTTCCCAAAGCGAATCATTCCTTTCCAAGGAGATACCTTTAACAACACGCGATCCCCGACTTGGAATTCTAATGGCTTTCGCCGCTTGTCCGCATAGCTTTTCTATCGGTCTCGCGATGCTTGAAGTCGATCTTTGATTTGGACTATCCTTCCGGTCGTCTCACGGATGATTTCGGGTCCTGTAAGAGCACTGGCTGGCGATTGCCCTTTTGCTAGTTGAGTGTCACCCACCTCGGCCCAGCATAGGGGCGATCTACATTTACGACCATAGAGAGCCTCGAAGGGAGCAACCTTGATGCTCGTGTGATAACTGTTGTTGTAAGAGAATTCAATCAGACGTAAGTGGTTATCCCATGACTTGCCGAAATCGATCACGCAAGCTCGGATCATATCCTCTAGAGTCTGGATGGTGCGCTCACTCTGACCGTCCGTCTGTGGGTGGTAGGCGGTGCTCA